ACTGCCGGAGTAATGTAGGGGACTACTGTAAAACCAAGCTGCTGGATCACTCTCCTTCTGCTCTGTGAACAAGCACAACTGTGCAGCTTCTGCTGAGATTGCCTTTCTGTCGTATGAACTAGTCACACCAGCTAAAGGATCTCTAAGAGAAAACACAACCACACTTTGGATTTTAACTACAGTAAAAATTGTTTCTCTTGGTAGGATAAATGAATGGAGTCAGCAAAAGCTTTTCAATTTAGTGCACAAAAAGGGAAATAAAATGTTTGAGTGACTCAGTGCTAACATTCCCTGTGACTTCTGAAATGCTGTTTCATTGTTTGGGCATTTTTTTTCCCCTTCTGCTATTATCAAATGGGGTTATAAAGATGCAGAGATAAGTGTTGATGATTGAGAGAAGCCTTACGTTTTACCATGGGCAGAGTGCTCATTTGCCATCAGTTTTGCCTGATTATGTGGTATATAGGTTAAATTTAAAGACAAGAAATTGAAAATATTCAGAAGTGTTCTAACCCTTTACCGAAAAACTCTTTGGGTTCACTGAATTAATTTTCAGTTAATGCCAACTGGCAGCATTCTGAGGACTTTCTTCCCCCTAGTTCATAAAGTATTTCCATACAGCTCATGGATTTTGTGTTTCAAAGCACAAGCAAACAGTCTAAAATTTCACCCACAAAAGAATAAAACATAGATAACAGGTAAAAACATGACCTAGAGGAGGCGAAGTTATTTTTTCTTGTTTTTCCATTAACAAAATTGAATTCAAAACCATTCTGTTTATTAAAGACATATAACAAGTCATAAAACAAACATCTTAACAGTCTTTAAACATAACAGAACTGATGTGCATAATTAAGTTTCATTAAGTATGGATGCAAAATATGTATTTCAGTTTTGCTTTATATTCCCTTCAGACCAACACCTCCAACACTCGTACACAAGATTTAGGCTTCCCCAAGCAATCAACAAGGACTTTGTAAAGACTCTAACAAAACTACATTGTAAACCAGCTTGAAATAATCTTAAATGTGGAAAAGATTAACAAAACAACCAAAGGATGTGTTCAGTGGAATCTAAGCAAGTTGCTGGATGTACTGAAAGTCGGAGGTTCAGCACGCAGAGGTAGCTCAGTAAGGGAACTTGCAGTGTTCTGACTATTTAGCATCCACAGAACCACAGTCAGTTCCTGTCTGCTTGAACTCTTCCTG